TTTTAGACAATCAATTGCTTTGGGGAAAAAAAGCCCACATATTTGTTAACTAGAAGTGCAAGAAATGAAGTGTTCTGTGCGAGTAGTAAAGGAGACACACAAGAAGACTGAACTGAGATTTTTCCCTACAATGGGAGGAAAAGACTGAGTTGTTCTTTTTAACTACAGATATGTGAGTGCAAATATATCTATATTCTTTTTAAAAATACTCTTTATTTAAATTCATCTTAGTTAACATGTAGCCCAACATAAGTTTCAGAGGTAGAATTTAGTGACTCATCAGTTGCATATAACACCCCATGCTCATTATATCAAGTGTCTCCTTAATCACCCACTTATCCCTTCCCCCAACCCATCTCCTCTCCAGCAACCCTGTTTCTTTCTTAGAGTTAAGAGTCTTTTGATTTGTCTCCCTCTCTAATTTCATCTTATTTTATTTTTCCCCTCCTTCACATTATGATCTTCCGTTTTGTCTCTTAAATTCCTTTTTTTAAAAAGATTTTATTTATTTAATCATGAGCGATACAGAGAAAGAGAGGCAGAGACACAGCCAGAGAAAGAAGCAGACTCCATACAGAGAGCCCAATGTGGGACTGGATCCCAGGACTCCAGGATCACACCCTGGGCCTAAGGCAGTGCTCAAACACAGAGCCACCTAGGTGTCCCTGTCTCTTAAATTCCATATGTGAGTGAAATCATATATTATTTGTCTTTTTCTGACCAACTAATTTTGCTCAGCCTTATACCCTCTAGTTTCATCCATGTCATCGCAAATAGCAAGTTTTCATTCTTTTTGATGGTTGAGTAATATTCCATTATATATATATATATATATATATATATATATATATATATATATATATATATACTACACCTTCTTTATCCAAAAATCCAGTCAGGAAATGGGCAGAAAACACACAATTTCCCAAAAAAGACATACAAATGGCCAACAAACATGAAAAAATCCTCAACATCATTCACCACCAGGGAAATACAAATTAAAACCACAATAAGATGCCACCTCACACCAGCCAAATGGCTAAAATTAACAACTCAGGAAACAATAGATGTTGGCAAGGATGTGGAAAAAGGGAAACCCTCTTACACCGTTGGGGAGAAATGCGAACTGGTGCAGTCCCTCTGGAAAAAAATTATGGCGGTTCCTCAGAAAGTTAAAAATAGAGTTACCCTATCATCTAGCAATTACACTGGATAAATTTGGATAAATTTACGTATTTATCCAATGGATACAAGCATAGTGACTCATATATATATATATATATATATGAATATATATATATACACATATATGTGTATATATATATATTCTTAATATATATAATTTAAGGTTTCTTTTTTTTAAGATTTTATTTATTTATTTATTCAAGAGAGACAGAGAGAGAGGTAGAGACACAGGCAGAGGGAGAAGAAGGCTCCATGCAGGGAGCCTACGGTGGGACTCTATTCTGGGAATCCGGGATCACGCCCTGAGCCAAAGGCAGACGCTCAACTGCTGAGCCACCCAGGCATCCCAATCTTTAATGTTTCTTAGACACTAGATACCTTTGAAAATCTGGCAAATATTATGGGCTTTATCTTCAGAGATTTAGGAGTAAATACATATGTATGTACATATACATGTATAAATGTACATTAATTTGTATTGTACTTTATAGAGTTTCTTCAGACAGCCTAAACACCAACTTAAGAAAGTAGAATTAAATGAGCATTATGTATGGGGTGCCTGAGTGGTTTAGTCAGTTGAATGTCTGACTCTTGGCTTCAGCCCAGGTCATGATCAGGGTTCTGGGATCGAGCTCCGCATGGGTCTCTGTGCTGGGTATGGAGCCTGCTTGGGATTCTCTTCCTACCTCTCCCTAGTCCCCCTCCCTCTCCTAAAAATATGTGTATCAGTCTTTTCTGAGTAATTTTTTATTCATTTTAATCAGTTTTAGGGGTTTTTTTAAGATTTTTTTAAATTTATTCATGAAAGACACAGAGAGAGAGAGGCAGAGACACAGGCAGAGGGAGAAGCAGGCTCCATGGAAGGAGCTCAATGCAGGACTAGATCCCGGGTCTCCAGGATCACACCCTGAGACAAAGGCAGGTGTTAAACCTCTGAGCCACCCAGGATCCCCTCAATTTTAGTTTTAACTATAAAACATTTTTAGACAGATTTATTTATCTACTTTTTAGCAACTTTTCAAAACAGAACTTAATTTTCCATGAACAGATTGTATAAATAGTTTAGTAACTCTCAAAGGCTAGTCAGCTTGCTGTGTAGTTTAATTCCAATATAAATATCCCTAATAGCAAAGAAAGTCAACTCAAGTATTTTGGGGCTGAGGATATTTTTGTGTACTAGCTTGAAAATGTAGCTACTGTGGGGGTACCTGGGTGACTCAGTCAGTTAAGCATCTGCCCTTGGATCAAGTTGTGATCTCAGGGTCCTGGGATTGAGTTCCACATCAGGTTCCCCACTCCATGGGGGGTCTGCTTCTCCCTCTGTCCCTCCCTTCTCCCATGTTCTCTCTCTCTCTCAAACAAATAAAAAATCATAAAAGAAGAAAATGTAGCTACTTTCAATGACATTTTCTTTTTGAAAAAAGGCTGACCACATTAAATCAATATGTAATACTTCTCTCCCTTGCCTCAATTTTAATGGTTACAAATTCCCTAAGGATTTTTTTTTAATGGAATATATTCTTGCAGGAAACCCTGGTCTCTTTTTATATGCATGGGTCACTAAAGAATATGTAGAGAAATAATATGTTGAGTGCCAGAATTAAGTTAGAGTAATAATCCTCATATTAAAGTTGAGGGATATTTTATAAATATCATTTTAATAAATATGGTGACTATTAGAAAAAAAAACATTTCTAGTGGTGAGTTATTAAAAAAAAACAGTGCAAATTAAGTAATATAGTTGAGCACAACTGGAAAGTCTAAAACTAAACTATTTCCAGATATGGCTTGACCAGTGATCCTAACCAATTTTTCTGCAATTTTTTTCTACTTTCCTCTGTAACAGTTTCAACTGTAAGCTAGATTCCCTCATGGTGGAGAGGAATGCTTGTTGCACCTGAGTTACATAGCTTCCTTTTTTAATATAGGAAAAGACTGCTTCCTACAACAAATAAATAAGTATCTATTTTTCACTCCGATTGGTCCATCCTTAAACCAATCACTGCTATGAGGGAAGTAGCATATAGTAGCAAATATATGAGTTACATAGAGCAGATGTATAGCATATATTTCTTTCTTTTTTAAAAATATTTTATTTATTTGTTCATGAGAAACACACACACACAGAGAGAGAGAAGGAGGCAGAGACACAGGCAGAGGGAGAAGCAGGCTCCATGCAGGGATCCTGACGTGGGACTCGATCCCAGGGCTCCAAGATCATGACCTGGGCTGAAGGCAGCACTAAACCGCTGAGCCACCCGAGCTGCCAATAGCATATATTTCAAGTGTCAAAAATATTTAATATTTGTTGCTTTTTTTGAAAGACACATACTTGAGTGTTATTAGTACCATAATTATGAGTCTTTGGTTTCATTAATCTACGTCAAATCAAGTTTCTTTGTAATTCCTGGTATTCAGTTAGGAGCTAGAAATCTACTTGCTCCACAATCACTACTTTGTTCACAGTAAGAATGAAAGTCAAGAGTGATATAACAAAGACCAATTAGCTTTAGATTTGTAGTGTGTGATCCTTGGGAGAATAAACAAATATCAGTTATTGAGTAACTTTTGGAAAACACAATTAACCATAGACATAGATTCTTCTAGGATCCTTTTGAAGACCTTCATTGCCTGCTATTTGAAGGAAACTGAAATGGATACAATGGAGCTAAAAACCCAAAGAGGTTACCCTTAAAAATGCTTAAATGTGCTTTAACAATAGTTGCTCGTTAAAGTTTTGTTACATTTCGGGACACCTTGGTGGCTCAGTTGTTGAGTGTCTGCCTTTGGCCCAACGCCTGATCCTGGAGGCCTGGGATCTAGTCCCGTGTCAGGCCCCCCCGCATGGAGCCTGCCTCTCTCTCCGCCTATGTCGCTGCCTCTCTCTTTCTCTGTGAAATAAATAAATAAATAAATAAATAAATAAATAAATAAATAAATAAATAAAGTTTTGTTGCATTTTGACAGAGTAAAACACTGCATTTATGCATTTATCAGGGTATTTTTTGTTACTTACATTTTGAAACCTGTAGCAACAGCACAGGAGAAAGGACAGAGGAAGAGGCTGAGAGAGAGAACCTTAAGCAGGCTGGTATGGAGCCTGAAATGGGGCTCAATCTTGACCCTGAGATCATGACCTGAGCCAAAATCAGAAGTTGACCACTTAACAATGGACTGAACCATACAGGTGCCCCTGGACCATTCTTGAAAATAGATTTGAAAGTGAGAGTAAATAGGGTTGTCAGAACTACTCAATCATCAATCAATCAAACAATCATTCTCTTTTGAACCAAAGTAGTATTTCTGTGGCAATAATAGAAGAAGCATATTATCACCCAGAATATTGTTATTACCAGTCATGTTTTGGAAATAAAGTTCTTTCATTGATATTTATGCGCTTTTAGTATAATTGTTTGTGGGGCTCAGTTAAGAAAACATTATCATTTTTATGTCTCTAAATTGAGAAGTATAACTGGTGTAAGTACTTCTAGAGTTTTTGTGAGAAAGTAGCTGGTTCAGAATCAGGTACCAACTCAGTATTCAATAAAATAGACCAACATTATTTTGTTGCTATTATTATTTTTACCTTTCAGTTTACGCTTTTGTGGCATAATCAATTTTCCAGTTTTGTTAAGATATAATTGATATACAGAACTCCATATGTTTAAGATGTATAGCATATAATTTGATTTACATATATAATGAAACAACTACCACAATTTAATTAACATTCATTGTCTCCTGTAGTCACAAAAACATTATTTCCCTTGTGATAAGAACTCTTAAGATTTACTCTTTTAACTTTCATTCATGCCCAAAATATAGAACATGTTACAAATTTGCGTGTCATCCTTGTAAGGGGTCATACTGATCTCTGTATCATTCCAATTTTAGTATATGTGCTGCCAAAGTGAGCACTACATATGTATATATGATGCTTATTTCAGTAGACCTTCCATCTTTGTCAGACAAAAAATTTCTTTTCAAAAAATTATTTCTTAACAACGATTTAAGTAGTGAGGAAGTGACATTCTGTGGTATATTTTAGCAATCAACAAAATATGAGACTCTTTGTGAAATATTTATTTTAGGTCCTAGAATTTAAACATTGGACATTTGCTCCTCTTGATCATCTTTTAGGATCAAATAATAAACAATTTGATTTGACAGATTTCCTTTGGTGCTTCATACATCTGTTAAAACATAACAAACATGAGTAGCACTTAATGAGAATCTGGAGGAGGATGTATATAAATAAACCGAATTTCAACTTGAAAGTTATTAATTGCTCCTTGGTATTAAAATGGATGTAATGTATTTAGTATAGGATCTTTCTGCCAAATAACTATAGCCCATCTTGAATAGTTGCTCCACAACCATAATATCTTAGTTAAGAAAACTACATCATAGCCAATGTGTAGCAATATGACTATTTTAGTAAAAATGCATCTAGTTTATTAAATGTTATATATTTCTGAATTTTTAAAGACTAAATTTAGTTACCCACAGAGGCAAAATTTTCCCCAAATAATGTTATTTTTGAAGTATTTAACCTTTGACATAGGTCCAGCTTCTTCTTAGCTCAAGGGCTTTGTCCTATTTCTTTTCAGCATACTTTATATTTACCTATTTTCCATTCAAATAAGTGCACTTAAGCAGATATATTGTTTTCCCAGCTTATAATAGGGATAGTAATCATCTACTTCTACTAATTTGCTTACCAAAAAAAAAAACCTTTCAGTAGCATATTAATAGGTTTTAATGCACTGAGGGCTCATATTGACCTCTAAAACAGCAGATGGACACACAGTAATATATTAATGCATCAACCTTAGTTACAAACTCCAAGTATTTTAATTGCCTCCATGATAGTTATAGTTGACTCCAGTTTTAAATGTCATTGCTGGTCAGGGTTGGTAATAAGTTTTCTTCCCTTCCCCCCACCCCTTGATTATTTCCTAAGTGGTTTAAGGTTTGAAATCTGAACACTCCTACACAGAGTAAATGTAAAATAAATAGATAAGGCCTAATGAGGGCAAAGCCGTGTCAAAAAAGATTTTCATTATAAATGTTATTCTCTGTAGCTATCCTTGTTTTCACTTTTAGAAAGTTTTTATAAAGCAATAAGCATTTTTTTCATTATCATTTCTGAAATTAAATCAGCCATATAGTCAACAACTATTTACTGATGAATGACTTTATACCAGACACTTTTCTAAGGCAAGCAATGGACAGAGAGGCAAGAATGTTGCTTTTGTGGTCCTTACATTCTGGAGAGGACCATGAGTGGATTTCAGATTGAATGGCCAAAACAATAAAGAAGAAAACCAATATTTTATTAAACAAGATAATTTAGGGAAGTTATAGTTTTACTATACAGAAAAACATATTTTTGTGACACACTGAGGGGATATCTTTTAGATTTGGTGGTTCAGGAAACCCTTCTCTAGGGAAGATATTGGAAATAATATCTGAATTATTCAAAGTACTTGTCTGTATGACCAACTGGAAGCAGAGCATTGCAGACAAAGAGAATAAAAAATAGGAAAGAAATGATGGAATATTTATATTTCATCAAGATGTGAGCCACAGAGGTTCAATAATAATTTAATTTTTGAAATGTCCCCAAAGTATACCAATGTAGTATTTTAAGAAATGTTGTGTAAGCAAGGAATAAAAAAATAGGCAATGACTTAAAAAAAAAAAAGAGGTAAGAGAGCCATCTATGAACCTAACATTCTTATTTAACACCACTGTAGCAAAATTTGTGAATCTGAATGCTCAGTTCAAAATAATTTACTACCTATTTCTTCATAGGAAGGATGCTCAATTATCTCAGTAATGATAAACTTCTAGGTGACCTTCTAAAATACTTGTATGAACTATTTAGAAATGTTGTTGCTGTTCCAACCCACAGAAACACTTTTTATCCTATAACCCTCCCCTCCCCGCCACACAGAGGTATATGGACATATGATGGAAGAATTTGTTTCCCAAAATAATACTATGTATGACAAACTCTTGATGTTTTCTATCATTTCATTTCTAAAATATGCCTATCACAACCTACTAAATTGATTTTATGACCTACCAATGAGTTTCAGCCTGAAGATTAGAAATTTTGTTTTAGAAATCATTCAGCAATTGACACAGCCTAATCTATACACCAAAAACAAAAACAAAAACAGCTAGGCCAATTACTATAGACTAATCAAAGTTATTTATCTTTTCAGAAAAAAAAATAGTATAGTTCTTTAATGTTTTCACAAACGCTAAATCAAGAAAAAAAAAAAAGAAGAAAAAACCCAGAATTAGTATTTTCTTTGCCTGACAGCATGGTAATTTTGTGTTTGCAAGGAAGGCAATGCCTTTATTTAATGGGGTAGTTGAAAGATTTCCACACTTATAAGGAAAACTTATTTTCTTTCTGGTCACTCCTGGTCCCAAGTATTGGTCTCAATTATCCCCTAAATGCAGAAAGGAAGCATTTAAAAATTTAACAGTAGAGGACTCCTAAGAGAATTATAGTAAAAGACCAAAATGGTGTTAGCTTAAAACCTTCATAACAGTGAATTTCATATTTATAAAATAAACTTTTAACAGTAATACTTGAAATTTTTGCTTAAATGTATCCTTAAATTTTTAACCACCTCAAGTAGAAATGTCACATAATAAATTATACCAAAACACAGTTTCACACAAACTTTGGCCTCAGAATACATATTTATACAAATATTTGATGTTTTGGAATTTACCCAGAATCCACAATAACAAAAGTAAAGTCATATTTTGAGTATGTGGATTTCAACAGATGGAAAGACAGCATTTATGCTTCCTTCCTTCTCAATTCTGACCCTAAGATGCCTTATGTTTCTCATTTGTTACATTGAGATAACTTTCAAAAATTTGTTACACATATGTTGTAAAAATAATATCATATAAACCAGAAAGTCTAATAAATGCTACGGATTTATGTAGGAAGGATGTAGACCCTGATATTTACCATAGGCAAACCCTGGAGCCTTGCAAGGTCCCCAATGAGGGGGCCCAGTAGTCTGACTCTTGTGCCTTTGCTAACACCTTCTTGTCAACTCTGGGTCACCCTAGCCAAGCCACCAACTCTGCTATAAACCTTCACAGACTAGAGCCTTAGAAGGTTATGTGGCAGGGTTCCTTCATGAATCCCACAAACTCCCTCCATCAACCAATTCCAAACACGTGGCCTTTTGTGTCTATGTTTCCAAATTCCTTCTTATGGACTCCACAAGCTCCTGCCCTTGTCTTCTGTGGAATAGTCTTACCACACTCAGGCCTCTTGAATATAAAATATTCCCACCACATAGCTTATTTTGAAATTTCCTGACAATAGAAAATCTCTTCTGGAACAGAAATTCTCAAACACTACAATAGATGATAGATAGATGATAGATAGATAGATAGATAGATGATAGATAGATAGATAGATAGATAGATGATAGATAGATAGATAGATAGATAGATAGATAGATAGATAGATAGATGATAGATAGATAGATAGATAGATGATAGATAGATAGATAGATAGATAGATAGATAGATAGATAGCATCTTATGCAGATCTGAGAAGAGCCTGCATAGATGGTCTTTCACTTTCTCCAAGGTTACCTCCACTTAAAGTTCTGGTTGAATTGCAGGGTGCAGGCACTTCTGTATTTAAGGAGGTGAAACTTTCCACAAGTTTATAAGGCTCATTTTAGTAATTTAAAGAAGAGGTGTCCAGATACTTCCATGGTGGGCCATGTGATCAGAAATCTACACATGTAAACTGGTTTGTTTTGTTTAAATCAATTTTGTTGTTATATAATTTATATTGATTAAGCCACATCAATTTTGAATATACAGTTGCACGTGTTTTGACTCATGTACACACCTGTGTAAGTCCAGATATAATTAAGATCAGAATATTTACATCACCCAGGAAAATTTTCTTTTGTCACCTTGCTTCCCTCATCTCTGGTGTGGCAAATACAGATCTGCTTTCTGAATCAGCTGTTTAGTTTTGCCACATTTTAGAAACTTACATAAATTAAAGCATACAGTGTCATACTCTTATACTCTTTTATGTCTGGCCTCTCACTCAGCATACTCTTGTAGAGATTCATCCACATTATTGCATTTAGCAATAGTGTCTTTTCATTGATAAGTAGTATTCCATGACAGAGACACACCGTAATTTATTTATCCATTCACCTGTGACGGACATTTCTGGTTTAGGAATATATAAACCTTGAGGCTCTTCTAAAATGTAGTACATTATACAACAAGTTAGTCAAAGCCATACATTATGTGGGAAATGCATGTTATTTCCACAACAATCTTACCATATACATTTTGAAAAACATCCTGAGTTGTTTTTTTTTTTTCAGTTGCATTACGTTAACATAATTTAGAAGAGTAAGAAAAAAAGATGGCTTATTTATATTCACAAATTCTCAAAAATTTCATCTAAGTTCTTACTTTATTTTCAGCAAATAATTCTTCAGTTTTTTAAAAATGACAGGTTCCATTGAACTCGGGACCATTCGGCAATGGTAATGAGTGTGGGTCTCACATTCCCAGGAACTCAGTGCATTTTAAAACCTAATTCCTACTCTTCCTTGAAGAGACTACAATGCCCTTGTTTTTTCCTCACAGATTACAATTCAGCATGTTTAAGCATTCTGCTACATGAGTAACAAAATATAAAGCCCTTGATCTGAGGAAGCAGCTAAGTAAATATCAGTTGGTTTCCAAGAACTAGTCATATGACATATTAAAATAAACCAAATGCCCAGCTTCTGGTTCATCTCAATTCAAGTATTCCATAAATTGGCAATGGTTAAAGACATAGTTACAAAATAATTTGGAAGATTTAAGAGTTTTTTTCTATCATCTCCTGC